ATTGCAAAAAAAATCTGATTGTAGCCATTTAAATGTCTTATAAAATAATATGAAAAGGCTGCTTTAGGCTTCTGAAGGTACTTTTTTACTGATACAAGAGAACAGGATTTTCTTGCTTGGTGCATAACTGGATTTTTATTGACAAACAATAAAATGCAATATTGACAAACAATAAAAACAAAATCACCAGTCCCAGTCTCCTTCAGTATCTTGTACACTTCTTTTGACTGGCAAAGCATGGCAATGGAATATGGAAGTGCTGTGTGCTCACATTAAGAGCATATTTCAGAGTATTCTTCACCAAAGAAGAACGCCAAGAAAAAAACATTTCCCAAGAAAATTAGGTACATGCAGTTCAGCTAACCATGTGTCTGTCTTTCAGTTCTCCATGGACTTAAAATCACTGTTCAGTTTTAAAAACATAACTGGCTAGGAAAGAGATACAGATCAAAGGGCTCCTTGGATGGAAAGGCTAAAATGATGGACACCTCAAACCAGTGACTTCACAAGACAGACAGCCATGTGTCACAACTCAAAAATTTCTCTCATGATAGAGCTACCTGTTTACATAATAAAATAGAATGAATGAGTAGGTAATGAAGAACCATTAACACGGGGAAAAATTGCTTGGCAGTTTCTGTTCTTCTCTCAGACAAGATACTTTTGTGGACAAAATTATAGAAGGCACACATTTACTTCATCAGTACCTTTTTCCTCTTTTCATGACTCCCTTTGTTTGCTCTGCTCTCTGTTTTAGGTGACAACACTGCAGCTGTTGATGCACCCGCAGCTTCTGCACTGTGCAGTGTCACTGTCCTCAGCAGGATGCTCACCTTACCATGGAGGCCACCGTGCACATACCTGATGACAAGAAAGCTCCTTAACTGGCTCAACCCAGCCAGGGGTGCCGTTCTGTTTTCAACAGCAGCTTTCCTATTTGTGTTGGGACACGTAGGCCATAAAAGCATTGACTATGACAAACATTTTAGACACAAACTAAAAGATTCCCAGTGATCTGTGTATATATCTGTATCATAGTGTCATTTCCACAGAGGAAATGTCACTCCTCTTACAAATGCAGGCTCACCAGCTTCAGACAGCGTTTTCATGCTAGCAGAACGCAGGCCAGCAAGTGACTTCTCAGGAGCAAGAAAACAGAGGCACAAACAGAAGGGTGAAGAAACGAAGTGTCAGCTAGAGAAGATGTGGGCATTATGTCCAGGAAAACGTTCTACAGTAAAAGCAGTTAAGCCCTGGGACATAACCCCAGGGAGAAGATGGTGAGTTTTTAAAGACAGAGGAAACAAACAGATGTAAGGAATAAGAAGGGCTTTAGGGACAAGGGATGACCTCTGAGCCTCTTCCAATCCTACCTCCTTTGGTCCTGTGATGCACAGTCACAACACAAAAATGTAATAAACAAAAACAGAAGGAAAGGAGTAGTGGAGGTCACTTTAGATGGTAGTCAGCAAACCACCTCCCAAAGTCTGAAGAGTTGTCAAAGTTTCCTCAGGAAGTGACAAAGACAAGAAACTTTGCCTCAGTCGTAAACCTGGCAATCTCTTCTGTGGTTGCCACACACAATTATGTCAGGATTTGGCAGGGAGCTGTAAATCGCTCCTCCAGCCCACATAAAGAAAATGTTGGGAGCTAAGGCACAGGGCACTGAGCAGCCACAGACAGATTAGGAAAGCTGGCAGCTGCACAGCCAGCCACAGTTCAGCACTGAAGCACGGCTCAGGAACAGAGCAGCTCCCCTACACTCCTCTCTCCTCCAGCCACTCAACAAGGTGCCCACATGGAAACACCACACAAATCAAATGAGAGCTACACTTCATTTCACCACACACACTGAGCTGCAGCTAAAACCAGCTCAGGCCCAGAAGCATGTGGCATCTAATGTAAGGGACAATTGCTGGGAACAAATAACAAACTGGACTGAGAGACCAGGAAGAGTCAGGGGTAACAAGACAGGACTTGGAGCAGAGCTCAAGCATTTACACTCAGGAAGATGAACACCTTCCACATGCAGATACCTGACTGCCCAGCAGCAATAATTTACTGGAGGAAGTAGTTTAGGAGCAGGCTTGAGGACACTTGCATGGCAACATACTAAAGAGAGCTGTTCAACTGCACCTCTGTACCTCCTACACCCCAGGCTGCGAGGCACTGGACAATTAGGCAGGCATCCTGCTCCTGCTCGCCCACTGGCAAGCTGGAACCATCCCTTCTCAGAGAGCTCTGCAATCAACAAAGCCTTCCTTCCAAACTGACTCACTCCCACCCTCCTGCTGCCCCAGATTTCCCCTTTGGCCTTCTCTCACTCGTGTCTCCGTCAACAGCTACAAATCCCATAACCATCATCTTGCAGTGCACTACTCCTGGCTGCTCCAAATCACTCCCAAGACACCCACAGAGGATTTTAAAAACTCCAAGATACTCTGGAGGAGGAAGAAATGAAATGCAGATACCCAAATCCTGGTTTGTTAGGTTAATGCTAAAAACTAGAGGCCAGGCTCCCTCCTGGCAATGAGGGGTTACATCCAGGAGCCAATAGCCTACTCCCCATTTTTAGTGCAATGGGTCCAGGCCACTCACTGGCCCTGGAGTACTGCACTGGCCTGTAGGGCTGGCAGTGTGGACCACAGCTCTGGTTTCTCTATTCCTCTTCATCATCTTCCCATCTGGACACTCTGTAGCCAAATGGGGCTCCAGAGCTTGTGGAGAAGCTGGGTTTGCAAACGTTGGACCAGCTGCAATTTTCTCCCATTGGGAAATTCTGAATAGGCAAAAATAGCCCAAGCCCAGGCCCCCTGCACAGCTTGAAGCCAAACTGTCAGTGATCCTCCTGTCTGATCCAGAGGTGCAGTCTAGAGCGGTGTTCAGAAGCGGAGAGGGATATGGATTTACAAACCAATTCAATCCATATTTCTAACAAGTATAAGAACTTGGGACTAGGACATGCCAGACTTGACTGATTATCAAGGGATCTATGACATACAATGCAGATTAACCAGGTCCAGGACCTACTGGAAAAAACAGCTGTCAAGATTTCTTTTGGTAGATCTGAGAATGTATTTTGGAGTTGCCATCTAGCTTTCAAGCAAATCAGACAATTAATGCCTCCATTTGTTCACACAGACAGGTATGGAGTTTCCTTGCCCTAGAAATGTCAACTTCTTGAGGGGACTCATCATCTAAAGGATTCCTCTCTTTTGGGAAAATAGCGTCAACCCCCATGGTAAATGAGATGTCTGTGATCAGAAGTAAAGGTTTTCTACGACTATGCCCTCCTAAAATGGAAGGAACATATCACTAATTACTAAATTACTATAACTACAGACACATCTCCCTAAGAGCCACCACTGCCACCCCATCATTTTAATGAATCTTCAGAGTAATTGCATACTCCTAGTAACACAGAGCTGCATTATAGGTTTCTTTTCCCATCTTAAAAAAAAAAAAAAAAAAAAAAAAAAAAAAAAAAAGCAAACAACTGCCTTACAAAATCTCCAGTAAGTTTAGTAAGTTTTGATGTTACAAAACATCAATAAATTATGGACATGTGGAATCTCACACCACTAGACACTTCATCTCTATAAAATTACAACATTTTCTGCTGGAGAAGAAAACAAGCAAAGACACATCTACATATTCTACCACAGACTCCTCATGTTTGTACAAACCACATTTATTTTGTCACTATGCCATTTTAAAAGTTGAAGGCAGGAATTCTAACCAAGAAAGGAGGAATGGTCACTGCCAAATACTTTGGGTTGAACTCTCCAGTGCCCTGGCACCGCATCCTGGCAAGAACTACTCCAGGGCAAGGTATCCACTCCTGCTGGGCTAAGTGTCAACACAAATCAGAGAGAACTGAAGTGTCTATTTGTGTTTGGTTTTCAAATGTCCAACTCACTTGGATGGCATGAAAGCAAATTCACTGTAAAACGCCTTCATTCACCCAGCTTCACTGAGTGCTTATGGAGATGTGGGCCTAAAAGCAGCAGCACTTGCACCGGGTAATTTGGGATGTTTGACTTTTAAAAAGAAACTTGTGTACTGGAGTAGTGATGCTCTGCTGGTTACTGTCAGGAGAGGTGGTTCTGCTCTGCGGCGGTGTTTGTGCCAGCTTGGTGGGCACATTTTGCCGGGAAGCTCCCTCGGTGCCGGGCAGAGAGGGGCAGGCTCAGCCAAAGTGCAGAGCTCAGCACATTGCTGCTCCAGATGTGAAACGCACGCGCGAGTTCGCCAAAAAAGCGGAAAAAAAAAAAAAAATGGAATGGCAAAAGCGACGTTCCTGTAAGGAGGCGAGTCAAAGAAGCGCTGCTAAATAAAGCCAGGCAAGGAACTAAACAAAGCACGGAGCAGCACATCGGTGAGACGGGACCGAGCGCCGGGAGCAGGAGCCGCCGGACACAGCGTCCCGGGGCGGGCTGGCAGCGCTGCTGCCTGGCCCCGGGCGGCTCCCCACCGCTGGAACGGGGCTCGGCGAGGCCACCGCCGCCTGTGACGAGCCCCAGGGTGGGCAGCGAGCCCCAGGGTGGGCAGCAACCCCCCCTCCCACCCCCCAGGTGCCTCCGGGGCTCTGGCATCAAAGGGAGACCTCCGCGGGACCACTGCCGCCGGGGGATGGCTCTGCCTGGGGAGCGCTGGGGGAGCCCCCCAAAAGAGAGCCACTGACCACCTCTCCCAGCCCGCTACGCCCTCCTCACTTTTAAAAAGTTGAGAAACAAGACAAAAACAACAAGCCCCAGAGCCTCCCCCCGCCCCGCGGAGGCCGGTGCGCGGCTGCCAAGTTTCGGCGTGGTGGAATTTTCTGCGGCCGAGCCCCCCCGCCCCGCCCGGGACCGCCAGACGCGGCGCCCCCCGGGAAGCGGGACAGCGAGGCTGGAAGCGTTCCCCGGCTGCGGGAGCACCCCGCTCCCACAGCCCCCACCTGCGAGGCGAGAGAGGGGGGAAAGGAAGGGGGAAGCGACCCCCCGGTCGCCCTTACTCACTCCAAGCAGACAGACTTTCAGCTCGCGTATCGCCATCCGGTCACATGCGCCCGGCCCCGCCTCGCCGCTGCCCCCCGCTCCCAGCTCCCGCAGAGCCGGGCACGGGCGCTCCGCGGCTGCGAGCGCGCCCTGGGCTGAGCCCCGCGGCGGGGACAGCACAGAATCGTCAGAGATGGAAGGGAGCGCTGGAGATCACCTAGTCCGACCCCCTGCCAAGGCAGGGGCACCTGGAGCAGGTGACACAGGAACACATCCAGCTGGGGTTTGAGTGTCTCCAGAGACGCATGGAGGTCCAGAGCTCTGCCACCCTCAGTGGGAAGTTCTACCTCATGTAGAGGTGAAACTTTTTGTGTTTCAGCTTGTGGCCATTGCTTCTCATCCTGTCACTGGGAACGACTTAAAAGAGTCCGACACCATCCTCTTGGCACCCACCTTTGAGATACTTGTATGTATTAATGAGATCCCCTTCAGTCTTTTCTGACGCCCAGAGTCTCTCCTCATAAGAGAGATGCTCCAGACCCCCAATAATCTTTGTGTCCCTTCGCTGGACCCCCTCCTGGAGCTCCATGTCTTTCTTGTACTGCAGGGTAAATATTTGCTGTACGCATGGAGGTCCAGAGCTCTGCCACCCTCAGTGGGAAGTTCTACCTCATGTAGAGGTGAAACACTTTTTGTGTTTCAGCTTGTGGCCATTGCTTCTCATCCTGTCACTGGGAACGACTTAAAAGAGTCCGACACCATCCTCTTGGCACCCACCTTTGAGATACTTGTATGTATTAATGAGATCCCCTTCAGTCTTTTCTGACTCCCAGAGTCTCTCCTCATAAGAGAGATGCTCCAGACCCCCAATAATCTTTGTGTCCCTTCGCTGGACCCCCTCCTGGAGCTCCATGTCTTTCTTGTACTGCAGGGTAAATATTTGCTGTTGTGAGAAAAACAGTCTGTGAGAGACAGCATCCTGCAGGGGGCTGTGCATATGCTTAGTCCTACACACCATGTGCTAGGCTAGGCACGGGATGGGGACTGCTCTGGTTGTGAACCATCTGAATCCATCTCCTTTTTCTTTTCTTTTCTTTTTTCAAGCTTTTCCTGCTATGTGAAGAAATAATTGAAAATAGTAACTCCATTTTTTTGCCCAATCCCGGTAGCACACACCCAACTTGGATTAAAATAGTCAGCCTGAGGTTAGTAGTAGGTTGCAGCCCACATATCACATACCAAATTTAAGTAAAACTCATCAGGTTAAGGCTGGTCCTCTGAAATCAATGAAGAAGAAGCCATAAGCATTCTGCTCTGGGTATGCAAGGTTCTAGAATTTTTGGAGAAGGGTTGCGCACAATAACCCCAGGAAGGCAGAAGAGTATAATCCATCAGATATTTTAAATCAGAGCCTCTCTGTTCTGCTTACAGTTTTTGGGGTTTTTGTTTTTGTTTTGGTTTGGGGTTTTTTTTTTTTGTTTGTTTGTTTTGGGTTTTTTTGGTTTGGTTTGGTTTGGTTTGGTTTGTTTTTTTTTCCCCTGCACTAATTTATCAGGTAAAATTGCTAAAGGGAATTGAAGAAAATCTTGATCAGTCATTGTGAGATTACTGCCAGGTCATTAGATGCTTCCTGGCAATAAACTGTTGTGGCATTCATTATAACTCTAATTAGCTCCACACGGAGTCCTGCACTCACACCAATAGGCTGGATGGAGATGTTTGCCCACTTCCAGAGATCCCAAATCCTAGGCCAAGGAAATGCTTGGAGCAGAGCAGTTGTTATCTCCATGGAGGAAAGCAGTGAAGTATTGCTAGCAGAGTATTCACAGCCTGTCAGGAGAGAGATTATCAAAAGACAGAGATCAAAGAAGAGGCTCATCAGAGAGATGTTTTTGATTTAATTAAGCTCTTTTTTTTTTTTTTTTTTTTTTTTTTTTAGGAGAATTTAGCAGAGAAACAAAACACAGCAGGTTTTTTAGACAACCAGTAAGGAACATTGCAAGGATTCTGGCTGCTTGTTGTCTTTCCACAAGAATGCCTTATACACTAAAGTATTTCAATAAGCACATGGGATACACTCCCTGATGTGGAAAAACTACAGTTTGCGCTCAGCACGTTCAGTTTAAAGCAGCTTCTAATTAGTTTTACAAATTTCAGCCAGTAATTAGTTCTACAAATTGACAGAAGATAGAAATTTTTAAGGTTTTACACCATCCCACTCCATTCTTTTACAAAGAGTGTTGTGGTTCAGGATCACCTTTCCATAGATTCTTTTGGGGATTTTGTGATGTTTTTTAAAATTTCTGTATCTTTCATTTGTGCTATTAATCATCTGTCCCTTTCCTTTGGTCCACATTTTGTAATCCTTGAAGTCTGGGATTTTTTTCCTTACTGTATATGCGAAACATTATGCCACCTGAATTAATTTCAGCAAGACGCACTGGAATTACATTTTCATAGAATCATAGAATGGCTTGGGTTGGAATGGTCCTGAAAGACCATCTAGTCCCAAGCCCCAGTGCCATGGGCAGGAACACCTGTCCATTTTTCAGAGAGCAATACATCTCACTGGCTTCAAAGCCATATATAACTACATGTCCACTTGCTGTCTGGACTCAGTACCACCAAAATACGAGACAGTGCCTGTCTATTTGCCCAGGAAAGCAAGTCAGATTCTCACCTTTCATCCTACCTGGGGAAGTTTCTCATATACACACCGGTGCAGTGTGAGCTCTCACTAACAGAAGTTACAGCCCAGACCTCAAAAGTTTCTTGCTGAATAGAACTAATGGCTACTTAGCTACCTACAAACAAGCAAGCTGTTTAAAACAGTAGCACAAAGATGACCCAGTGGAAGTTGTTCAGGCTGAAACAGCAGAAGAGAGGTTGTTAAGGGCAACTTTATTGTACAGTCAAAAAATATAAAGAGCCAAACAAAAATTAATAACCAGAGGAAAAAGTAACATATAGTACTTGTTTAAACAAAAAGTCTATGAACGACAAAAAACAACAAAAAAGGTATCCCCAAAAATTTTGAGTATCCCCAAAATTAGGGAGATAAGAGAGAAAAACAACAAGCAAACATGTTCCGGTATTAAAAAAAGTTACTGATGCTCACTCTTCCAGGAACTGGCATAATCCTTGTGTTTGTCTGCATGCAAGATGCTGTGGTCAGGAAAACATTTTTGCAGAATTGGTCATGTTGCAGTGTTTTCAAATGGCTGATTAAAAATAAAGGAAAACAAATCTTTGCATCCCAGAACTTTTCTTTCCTTTTTTTTCCTTCCTTTTGTAGCATTTTATTCAATGAATAGTTATAAGTTTTGAAGCAATGGTGTACCTCACTTCTTTCAAACCAACTGTATTTTGGTTTTGGGAGGTACAAAGCCAAGTGGCTTTGGTTTTCAGCAGCCTTCCTCTAGAGCTTTCAAGTGACGGCATGGTGTCCTTCAGTGGTCTGGAGCAATGGCAGCTGGGGCTGCTGATGTCCTTCTCTTTGCCCCTACTCACATGTGTCTGCCCCAGTGTGGCTCATGCTGGTAGAAGACTAGTTTAAAAGTTTTCTAGTTTTCTATGTTTAAAAGTTTTCTATGACCTCAGCCTCCTCCTCTCTAGAAGTGGTGTAATGGTATTTAGAAAGCCTGTATTGGTAGGAAACTGGATGCTTTTGGGGTTCTGGCAGTGTTTGTAAGCTTATGAAGGCATCTTACACTTCCTCCTCCTGCTTTCTTTCTCTGTGAGTGACGTAGGTAGAGAAAGATCCATCCAAGACCCTGATGTGTACCCAGATCCTGAAACTGCTGTTGTCTGTCCCAAACACTGATGAGTTACTTCCTTTCTCCCATGTTACTTCCCCTCTTGATTTCTTGGCAAGCATCTTTCTCACACAAAAATGTTATCCCCCCCCTTCACTGGCGAATTCAATCCCAACCCTCCTACTATGGGCTGCCATCCCAGCTCTTATTCCCAAGGCAGGGAACAGGAGGCAAGTTAACTCCCTGTTGCCCAGGAAGAAATGCCTCTGCATCCCTTGGATGACAAAAACTTGAAGTACAGTAATGACTGCCACCACAGAAATCTTTCTGGTGCTTGCCCAAGAAACTGCCAAAATCTCTTAAAAGGAAAGCAGCTGCTGCTGAGCAAGCTGTTCCTTGACTGGGAGGAGCAGCTTCCAGCTCCTAGATCCCATGCAAAATCCAGTGTTTATGAAATGGCTAAAATTCTGGGAGATGCTATTTTTGTTTGCTTGTTTATTTGATCAAAGTAAATGTTTAGTTAATCAAAATTTTTTTATTTAAACAAAGGCTAGAAAAGGACTGCCCTGGAAAAGCATTATGAGAGTCCTGAGACATGAAAACCAGAGAAGTACAGGAATGACCCGGTGGAAATAAGAGCATGATTCTGATGTCAGCTACACAGGTCTTAAACCACTGCAATTTATTTTTTTTTAGTTTGAGAAGGGTTATTCCATTTCATTGCACATGCAAAAAGTGAATTAGGTTCTTTATAACTCACTGGTTCCAGCGTTAATACCTGGAGATTATGTAGCTGGCTGCTACTTCATTTTGTTGTAGAGTTGCTTCATGTTTTAACGTCTTCTGTTTATGGCAGTTGGATGGTCCAGACACTCCCTTCTGAAGAAAAATCTGCTGGAAAATGTTAGAGGGGAGTAAACCTCTGCAAGATGCTACTTGCAGCTTGACTGCCAAGAGCTCCAAAAAGCACGATTATTGCCATTGAGTGAAACCTGGAAATTGTTTGTGTAAAGCTTAGCAGCAGGCTTCTTGTTGGACCTTGTAAGAGATGCACTGTTCCTAAAGTATTTGGGAAACATTTTGACATCTTTGGCATTAGAGATGTATGTTTGTCAAGAGGGTCAAGATTACTCACTGCTAATCCCCAAGGCAATCTCCTATCAAAGGAGTGAAAAATTATGCAAGACTTCTCATTCTTTACAAATGATGTCCCATAGCCTCAAGCTGGTGATAGTGCAACTTTTCTCCGCTGTTAGATGGGGAAAGAATTTTAAAAAAAGCTTTTTGCTTACATCAGAAAAA